AAATGGATTAATTTAAGCTGTAAGAACAGTTAGCAAGAAGCCTGCTACGGCCATACAGTTTGTAACCAATATATAAGTCTCTGTGTTTACTTGGTTGGGTCTGAGCAGCTGTGGGACTGGCAAGTGAGAGAGATTTGTCCTGACTGTGGGCCAGGCAGGAAAACTCTAGCTACACAGTCTGTCCCTAACATTCTGCAAAATAATGAAATAGAAAAGTAACATGATTTTCAGCACATTAAGAAACAAACAAACACATTCTTTCCATTAGTTAACATGGTGGCTCCAGATGTCTCTGCAGGGTCTCAGCTCAGGTTTGTCAGAGCTTTCACGATCTCATTCAGAGTCCGTATCATTTAAGCTGCTAACTTTTTCTGCATACCTCCAGTCCTCTTACTTCCTACGCCCTTTTGTCCCATAGTGCCTTCCCTACTTCACCTGGAGTGCTAGGTGAGGTGTCGTATGATTGGCCCTCCAGTTCCTGGTGAACTTAGAAATTGTTTCAGTCCCTGCATCTCCACAAGACTCTAAAACTAGACAAGTCTAGTTCAGTACCCAGCACTGGCAGAAAGTCTTGAAGGGGATCTTTTTAGGGTACTGCCTACTCCTTACTTCTAGATTGCTCCTTCCCAGTTGACATATTTTATCATTTTAATAGTGTCTCAAGATTGAAAATGTCCCCTTTTCTGGCCATGGTGACTCTCCCTTGGCAATCCCAGCTCTGGCGTAGTGAAAAGAAGGGTTGCCATGGGTTTGAGGCCAATCAAAAGAAGAAAAAAGGTTTCCTTTTAATGATTTAATTTTAATTGTTTTACATTAAAATACCATATTTAAGAGCCAAATAATTTTTGCTTTTATTATACTCTTTTTCCCAAAGAGCAATCAATCACCAGGTACCCTCAACTGCTCTGGAGCCTGAGGCAGAAAGAGCTGTAGTTCAAGGCCAGCCCAGGCACTTAGTGAGGTTCTGTCTCAAAATAAAAAGTAAAAAGAAGACTGAGGATATAGCACAGTGTTCAAGCATTGCCTATGGGTAAAAATAAATAAAATGAAAATGAAGTAGTTACTTCTGCCTCTCACCACGCTCCTTGGCATCCCCCCCTTCCCACATCCCTTGATAAGGTGCTTGATTATTCAGAGCAGGGCCTTCCCAGTGTCCCATCTTCTTGTAGGTCACATGATTCGAGTTGCTCAAATACTTGAAGTGTGTGTGTGTGTGTGTGTGTGTGTGTGTGTGTGTGTGTGTGTGTGTGTGTGTGTGTGTAGGGCCAGAGCCTTTTAGAAAAGCTGTGGTTGTGTCATTCCTGTGTGTTCATTCTACTTGGAGTTAATAATAGTGCTTTGGCATCTCCCTACTCCACTTTCTTGGATTTCTATATGTTTATCAACCCTAGACTCTCTGGTCTCCTGAAGGGTTCTCTCTGGGCCCTTCCTTAGTCAGCCTCCACAGGTGCATGGTTCATGGTTCTGCAGACATCCTTTCTTCTCTCTCATCTCTTTTTGAAGCACATGTCTGTAGACTGGTAGCTTCCAGAGAATATGGGTGTGTAGGAGGTGGATATTTTTAAGCTCTGTGTGTCTGAAAATGTAGGATCTTGTCTTCATTCTCCTACTTCAGGTTCATAGCACTCTTGATGTGTGTGGCTTATTCTGTGTCTCAGGTGTTTTGTGTCGTTTCTATCCAGAGTCCCATGTTCCCTTTTGGGATGATCCCCTGGTTTTAAGCTGATGGTTTTCTCCTATTTTCTCTGCTGTGGTTTGGGAGACTTCTATTACTTGGGTGTTGGGCCTCCTAACAGCACTTTCTTCTCTCTTATTCTTGCTGTTTGTTTTGGCTTGGCTTGGTTTGATTTGACATTTTGCTTGACCCTCTGGTAGATTTTTTTTACCTCAATATCTCATCTTATCCCTTTATTGAGTCTTTCTTTTCTCCCATAAGGCTTTTTATTTACCCATAATGATGTGCTTTCTGAGAACTGTTTTTGTAGGACTGTAATACATCCTCCTGATTCAGACTGTTTGTGCCTGGTGGTGTTAGCATACTGAGTGTGCTCACTGTCCTCCAGGTGCATTTTCCACCTACCTTGTTCTCTTGGTCTTAAACCCTAGGCTTTCTGCAAGTGCCTTGAAGATCCTTGTTTGTCAAGATTTGGGAGGAGGACTTTAAGAAACAGACTGGCAGTCCTGAGTGCATATATGAGTCAGCCTCATCAGAGCTGATCACAGGCCTCCAGCATCTGTGTCATCTGGCCTCTGCTCTTGGATTATCAGCTCCTTCAGTCTCCTGCCTTCTGGGCAAAAGCTTAGCTACTAGCTGTCTGGGACCCAAGTAAGAGAAGATGCTTGTGGTCCCAGCATCCTTCATACCCATACTTACCTAGTCCTGTCCACCTGCCATTCTCTCCTCTTACTCCCATACCCTTCTAGTATACCCTTTCTGTTCTCTCTAGAAAGTAAGCTACAGTTATTTTCCAGGGTCTGTGGAAGATAGACAGATAGTACAGATATACAGGATAGGGAAGGCTACCCATGGATCTAACTACTGTCAGATGCTTAGCCAGGCTAGCTTAGGTTCATTATGTCCTCCATCCTAGAAACTTTTGCAGCCTACTGGAGGGAAATAAAAAGTGGGCCTTACCATTCTCTGCTGCCCACAAGATGTGGGTCTGTGCCATCATTTGCCAATTTTGTCAGTCTTTATGAAGCTTCCTGTATTTTGTAGCTATTCTGTCTTATTTTCTTCATTCGTATTGTTTCTGCCTTGAAATAAGTAAATAAAACCAGCTTTTATCTGCATACAATAGAGTATACATACCTGTTATCCTAGCACTTGGTAGGAGGATTGGGAGATCAAAGCCAACCTCATCTACATATCTACATACTGAATTCAATGCCAGCCTGAGTTGCATGATACTCTCTGTCAAAAACAAAATAGTGTTTAATAGTGTTGGGGCGGGTGTGTGTGTGCATGTAGAGGCAGTCTCCATTCATGGTTCCATTTTCTCCTGGAAGCCTCTGTATGGCTGCTCTTTTGCTGATCCCAAGGTTCTTATATAGCCCAGGCTGGTCTGAACTCAGTATGTAGCCAAGGACAAGCTTGAATTTCTGATCTCCCTGCCTCAACCTCCTGAGTGTTGATATTATAGATGTATGCATATGAGGCAAGTACTCTAACAACTGATCTACATCCCTAGCTGCTATGGTTTGGATTCTTTTTTAAAGCAAAGCCCCAGTTATCCATAGTAAATTCTCAAAAGAATACTATAGGTAGTGACTAGCTCTAGCCCTTGGATTTAGATTTGGGATTTTTTTCTTTTTAAGTCAAAGCTTTTCAAAAACAATCATATAAATATATAAATCATATAAAGGGCTGGAGAGATGATTCAGTGCTTAAGAGCACCTGCTGCTCTTGCAGAGGACCTGGGTAGGATTCCCAGCACTGACACGGTGGCTCTCAACCATCTGTAACTCCAGTTTCAAGGGATCTGATATCTTCTTCTGATCTCTGTTGTAACTAGATATACACACATAAATTAAATACATCTTTAAAAAATTGTGTGTGTGGTGTATATGTGGTGTGTGTGTGTGTGTGTGTGTGTGTATGTGTGTGTGCACGCGCGCACGTATGTATGTATGTGTGTGTTGGTGGAAGTTTTTGTCCTGCCAGCAGCTCCCAAATAAACACATAGAAGCTTAATATTAATTATAAATGCTCAGCAAATAGCTCAGACTTATTACTAGCTAACTCTTACATTTTCAGTTAACCCATATTTTTATCTACACTTTGCCACGTGGCTTGGTACCTTTTCTCAGTACGGCATGTCCATCTTGCTTCTCTCAGCATCACTTGATACTCTTCAGACTCTGTCCTTCTTCCCCCAAGTATTATTAGTTTGGCTCTCTCACCTAACCTTATTCTATTGAGCTGTTAGCCAGTCAGCTTCTTTATTAAGCCAATCACAGTGATATATATATATATATATAGATAGATAGATAGATAGATAGATAGATAGATAGATATATTTTTTTTCACAGAGTATAAAGCAATATTCCACATATGTGTGTTGGGGGGGATCCCTAACTCCTGAGAGGAAGTCTCATGTATCCCAGGCTATTTTCAAACTTGCTAAGCTTGCTGTGTAGCCAAGGATTACTCACTACCATGCCTGACTCTGTGAAATATCAGTTTATAGCAGACACTTCTATAAGAATGTCATGCTAAATCTGATGCTGTGTCCAAATTTCAGAAACAGGAAGTTTACTTCTTCATTTTTGAAATGAGAGAAACCTAGGATTATAAATTATCTATCATTTATTTGAGAAAAGCCTTCTTTAATGTCTGGACCAACTAGAGAATACATTCTGAGCTGGGGTGGGAGTGCTTGGTGCCACAAACTTTCTACTTCAGCTTTGCGTGTGCTCAGGGATGAGAGGGTGATCAATTAAATACTTGGAAGGATGAAAGTAAGACCCACAGTTCCACAGCTAATTGGTTGTAAAGTCAGGGCTAAAACCTAGGCACTTCCTTTCCACAATTTCAGTTTCCTGCTGTATCCATCTTAGAGTGACTTCAATTGAATTTAGACAAAATAGTTGGATTACAGCACAGAAATGATCATTCCTTATTTATTCATTTTTTCATCAAATATCAGCTATGTTTCCTTTTTCATGCCAGGCATGGAGGAAGGAAAGGATGTGTTCCTGTACCTTCCGTGTTTGCAGCTAAGTGGCCACCTTAGCACCACCCTTTAGAGTTAGCCTTGCCGATTGCTTCACATTGATCTCTGGAAGAGACCCAGACCTCCTGGCTACCTTCAAAATAGCATCTCTCCTGCACTTTCTCTGAGGCCTGCAGTTGTGCCCCTTCAGGTGGCATGGCTTGCCTCAAGGATGAGCTGTTGCCAGTTTAACTCACAGGCTCTGCAAGTGACTGAGAGAAGAACTAGAGTTGAGTAAGGTCCAGAGCCACACAGTGCCTCATGACAATTGCTCTCTGTTTATAGGGTGCATGAGCTGGTATTACTACGTGACCATGCCAATGCCAGCCTCCACCTTCACAATTGCAGTGGGATACTGGACAGAAATGAAGCCCAAGACATCCCCATCAGATGATCTTGTGACAAAGCGCCCTCTTCTGCTTTCGAAAGCTGACTTCAGGTTTGTGTTTGGGAGTTTGCTGATTTCACTCTGGGAATGTGAGTCATTCTTGTTGAGAAAATGAGCCAGAATGGACCGAATCAAAGTATGGAAAGGTACTGGAAAATAGAGTTGTCTTTGTTGTTCATGAAGAAAGAGAAGAAAGCAAGTAGATGTGAAATCCTCTGTGATATCAGGAGAAGAATTTCTACATGTTTGTTCAATTTAAAAAGCTGCAGATTGAAGACTTTCCCTCTTACCATTTAGATGTCAGTCTTACTGCCTGGTCAAAAATGGCTTAATAAAGCAAAGTTGTGCAGTGAAAGGAAGGTGTGCAGTGAAAGGAAGGTGTGCAGTGAAAGGAAGGTGTGCAGTGAAAGGAAGGTGTGCAGTGAAAGGAAGGTGTGCAGTGAAAGGAAGGATGCAGTGAAAGGAAGGTGTGCAGAGAAAGGAAGGATGCAGTGCAAGGAAGGTGTGCAGTGAAAGGAAGGGTGCAGTGAAAGGAAGGTGTGCAGTGAAAGGAAGGTGTGCAGTGAAAGGAAGGTGTGCAGTAAAAGGAAGGTGTGCAGTGAAAGGAAGGTGTGCAGTAAAAGGAAGGTGTGCAGTGAAAGGAAGGTGTGCAGTGAAAGGAAGGATGCAGTGAAAGGAAGGATGCAGTGAAAGGAAGGTGTGCAGTGAAAGGAAGGATACAGTGAAAGGAAGGTGTGCAGAGAAAGGAAGGATGCAGTGCAACGAAGGGTGCAGTGAAAGGAAGGTGTGCAGTGAAAGGAAGGTGTGCAGTGAAAGGAAGGATACAGTTAAAGGAAGGTGTGCAGTGAAAGGAAGGTGTGCAGTGAAAGGAAGGGTGCAGTGAAAGGAAGGTGTGCAGTGAAAGGAAGGTGTGCAGTGAAAGGAAGGTGTGCAGTGAAAGGAAGGATGCAGTGAAAGGAAGGTGTGCAGTGAAAGGAAGGTGTGCAGTGAAAGGAAGGATACAGTAAAAGGAAGGGTGCAGTGAAAGGAAGGATGCAGTGAAAGGAAGGTGTGCAGAGAAAGGAAGGATGCAGTGCAAGGAAGGGTGCACTGAAAGGAAGGTATGCAGTGAAAGGAAGGAGTGCAGTGAAAGGAAGGGTGCAGTGAAAGGAAGGTGTGCAGTGAAAGGAAGGATGCAGTGAAAGGAAGGGTGCAGTGAAAGGAAGGTGTGCAGTGAAAGGAAGGTATGCAGTGAAAGGAAGGATGCAGTGAAAGGAAGGTGTGCAGTGAAAGGAAGGTGTGCAGTGAAAGGAATGATGCAGTGAAAGGAAGGTGTGCATTGAAAGGAAGGATACAGTGAAAGGAAGGATGCAGTGAAAGGAAGGTGGGCAGTGCAATGAAAGTGGGCAGTGAAAGGAAGGTGTGCAGTGAAAGGAAGGTGTGCAGTGAAAGGAAGGGTGAAGTGAAAGGAAGGTGTGCCGTGAAAGGAAGGTGTGCAGTGAAAGGAAGGTGTGCAGTGAAAGGAAGGATGCAGTGAAAGGAAGGGTGAAGTGAAAGGAAGGAGTGCAGAGAAAGGAAGGATACAGTGAAAGGAAGGTGTGCAGTGAAAGGAAGGTGTGCAGAGAAAGGAAGGATGCAGTGAAAGGAAGGTGTGCAGTGAAAGGAAGGATGCAGTGAAAGGAAGGGTGAAGTGAAAGGAAGGTGTGCAGAGAAAGGAAGGATACAGTGAAAGGAAGGTGTGCAGTGAAAGGAAGGTGTGCAGAGAAAGGAAGGATGCAGTGAAAGGAAGGTGTGCAGTGAAAGGAAGGATGCAGTGAAAGGAAGGTGTGCAGTGAAAGGAAGGGCACAGTGCAAGGAAGGTGTGCAGTGAAAGGAAGGTGTGCAGTGAAAGGAAGGTGTGCAGTGAAAGGAAGGGTGCAGTGAAAGGAAGGTGTGCAGTGGAATGAAAGGATTCCTCTAGTTGACCCTGTGGAGGGCACTGACTGTTTTGGTCCTGTGATGCCTGTCGGTGGTATATTGTGGGGCAGCCTCTTCAGTGGTGCTCACTGGCCTCTAAAAGCATTGGTCACAAGGAAACTCATAGTTGTTGGGTTAAGGGATTCCTGCTGAGCCAAGGCCTTAACTTTTTTATTTTTTTTTTTTAAGATTTATTGATTTATTTTATGTATATGAGTTCTCTAGCTGCATGTGCAACCTTATGCCAGAGAGGACATCAGGTCCCACTATAGATGGCTGTGAGCCAAGTGGTTGCTGGAAATTAAACTCAGGACTTCTGAAAGAGCAGCCAGCACTCTTAATCACTGAGACATCAGTCCAGCCTCCTGTTTTTGTTTTTGTTTTTGTTTTTTTTTGTTTTTTTTTTTTGTTTTTTTTTGTTTTTTCGAGACAGGGTTTCTCTGTGTAGCTTTGCGCCTTTCCTGGGACTCACGTGGTAGCCCAGGCTGGCCTCGAACTCACAGAGATCCGCCTGGCTCTGCCTCCCGAGTGCTGGGATTAAAGGCGTGCGCCACCACCGCCCGGCTTGTTTTTGTTTTTTAATGCAGGAAAAAAAATCAACTTCAGGTTTTTAGAAACTGATACAGGCAATTGCATAGAGACAATCCAGAAGAATTGTGCAGATGCTTATTTCAACTCTGAAATAAAAGTGAGCGTGACAGGGTGCAGCTTTGTTGGTGGAGTCCTTATCAGGCATGAAGCCCTCACTTCCACTTTGAGCACCACATAAACTGGGTGTGGTGGCCCATACATGTAATCCTAGCATTTAGGGGGTAGAGGCAAGTTAATGTCATCCTTGGATACATGGCAAGTTCAAGGCCAGCCCTGTCTGAGACCCTGTCTCAAACAAAACAGAAAAAGAAACCAACTAAGACATTTTGGGTGCATTTCTTTTGTGCTGGTCTCTCTTTGCTATGTTGCTTGTATTATCACCACAGTGGCTATGGTGGTGTCCTTAGGAACTGACACCAGGTGGTTCCTCTTCTAACAAGCACATCTTACTGCCTACATGATGCCTTTTTGGCAGCATAGAACTATTTTCTACTTTTTGCCCAATAATATGTCAGTTTTGGAGTGTCTGTCCTAATGGCTCTACTTTATATAACTCAGGAAAGATTATTAGATTTTACTTGCATTCTCTCAAGGGAAGAAGGAATTGTGGACAGAGTGGCATATGCTGCTCTCATGTGGTAATATTTAGTTGCAAGTAAAACTCTCTAGTGTTCCCTTCCCTTGCTCTGGAACCACACAGCAGACTTCATTTTGTAATTGTAAATAGCCCAAATTTCTGAGTGAAGAAGACAAGTGCCCTAGAGAGTAACTTTGACTTGGTAATGAGCAAGAAATGCATCTTCTTGTGGTAAAGCACTGGTGTGTGCTGCAGGGTTTGTGACTGTAGCATGTTCTAGCTGATCCTGAACCCACACAGAAGCCATTGGCTATCTGTGTAGTCTGTAAGATGTGCTGTCTCTGTTACTCTCAGTTGTATGTAAGGATAAAGAGACTCAGACAATAATTTGTTTATTTTCCTACCTACTGAGGAATAGTACCTGTATTCATTAATTTCAGGTCTAATCTCTAGAGAGGTGACTTAGAATCTTTTCTAGAGATGTTTAAAACCTTAGTGTAACAACTGAGCCACCTCAGAAGGTACCTTGGAGCCATCTTCTCACCTGGAGTCACCACCATGACTTAGCTATTGATACTAACGGGAGAGCATCTTTAGAAAAACAAGTTGAGAGGTGGGAGACAGTTCAGTGTAAAGGCTCTTGCTGTCAAACCTGATGGCCTGAGTTCAATCCTAGAATGCAAATATTGTAAGGAGAGAGCCAACTCTTAAAAGTTGTTCTCTGACCTCTGCATGAACCTCTTGTTGTCATATACACAAAATAAATGTAATTTTTGAAAAAGAAAGAGAACACAAATTGAGGTTCCCTTGAGCCCGAGAATGCTGTCCTGTCCTTACTGCCTGGATATGGCACTGTGGCAGACCCACACTTTTTTTTTGTTTGTAAAATGAAGACTTTGTTCATGAATTCTCAATGGTGAAGAAGTTCTCTGTTGTTAACCCGTAGTTTCAGAGCTTGTTGATTGTTAGGAGATGAAGGCCAAGAGATGAGTTGAGTTGGGGCCTCCTGCTCAGAATAACTGGAATCCTTTTCATTTGTCTCTACCATTGTGAACAGAAGAGAGCACGTCCAGGTCAGATGGGGGACTGGGAAAAAGAAAGCTGCGGAAGCCCCTGTTGGGACCTGGGGAAGGTAAATCCTATTCTTCTTTTGCCCTTGTGTGTTTGGAACCAGTTGAAGAGCATGCACAAGGAAATGAAGGCAAAGATTTGGTCACTGACAAGTTGGGCTGAAAGAGTACATGGATGCCAGGTTTTCTAACACTTCCATGTCAGTTACCAACCATGTCGACTGCTACACTGATGCTCAGGGTAACATAGGCCAGACAGCAGACCCCAGAAGATACTCACTGGACAAGCAGTTGCCAAAAGGCCAGCCAATCAGGGAAGCTAGGGGAGTTGTTGCTTTGTTGGAAAACTCCCAGGAGTTTTGTGCTGTGTTGTTTTGTGCAAGGGTTGAAGTAGGGTAGTGTTGTGAATGAACTCCTCCACACTCCTGTCCATGACTGACAGTGCAGTTTCCTTTTGTTTATCTATATGCTTGTCCATCAGAAATATATAGCTAATAAAACAATAACTTAGATTTTTCAATTCTGTCATGCCATCATGCCTCATATGACCATCTCTGGTAGTTAGAGTGGTTCTGTTTATCCACTACATGCCTGACTTCATGGGTTGAACATTAGCTCTGTTGTGCCATCATACCACGATGGTGTTTCTGGCCATGCTTACATCTGATGAGGCCTGCCTTCCCAGCCCTCCTTCCCACCAATTTCATTCATGTCAATCTAATGTTTACAGGAGCCTTATATATCATGGCTTTTGTTTGCATAAGTGTTCATCTGGGTTCAGAAATTTAGCTGAAAGTTTGGTTACTGAACTTTAGATCACTGTTCACAGGAGCTAAATTATGGTGGGGTGGGGGGCACTCTTCCAGTCCACTTGGGATGAACATTTTAGTAAACACATAGGCTAAAGACAGTCATATAAACAGTCCAACATGCATTGATTTTATTTGGTTCTAGCCACAGGAGAGTCTTGTTTTGTGTTTAACCTCTCAGGCCTTAATCTTGGGTCATACAGCTTAAGCTTGGATAACCTCCAGTAGAACACAACAAAAGTGATTAAAGGCATTAAAAAACTGGCACCATGTTAACGACCCTGAGATGACTCATTCTGCAGAAAAGAAGACAGGGTGGGGAAAGCCTGTCTTGAGAATTATAAAAGCTGAGGGAAAGCCACCACGAAAGGAAGAGAAAGAATCTCCAGTTGCCATTGGGTCTGTGCTAACTGTTGATTACACAAGCCCTGGCATCTCCTTAGCTGCTGCATGAATGGGGCCATGAAGCAAACACCAGAGTCATCTTTGCAAGAAGAAACCTTAGGAAGCATTTCAGTAGATGATTGACATCCACTGTGACATACTGGGGGTTGCTTCAGTCCACTGTGTATACAACCTGATTGAGAACATTCTGTCATGTCAGAGTTCCCTCCTGCCCTTCCTAATCTGTCCTCTTCTCTTTGGGTAGCAGCATTAGTGAGACCATAGGAGGGATAGAGAGAAAGAAGCATCAAATGCTGAAGTCTTTGCCTTGGTCACAGCCTATCTAAGCATAGCTACTGAAGCCAGTGTACTGGTCCTTACACAGGAACTTACAATGGCACCCCCCATACATTTCTATGACTACCAGGAGCCTCACTGACTTAGTGTTCTGATAGCTTGATTGCCTTTAAGTCCTGAATTTTATGGAAAACAGTATTAAGTCATGTATCTAGTAGTAATTATCCTCACTAGTTTGGCGAGTGTCATATATACCTGGAAAGAAAATAATTTATCTTTTTCCTTGAACAAATGCTTGTTTGGTGTACCTTTGACATCTTCACTCTGTTCCTTCACCTCTGGTTTTCTTAAGTGTAAGAAATAGTCTCACTCCATGGGAATAGACAGTTTCTACATAGAATGCCTCTCTGTATTGCAGCATTATGGTGTTTAGTTCTTAAACTTACTCCCTTGTTCTGTCTGGAGTTCCAGCTTTAGGTAACATGCTTTGAAGGCCCCTCTTCAGTTTTTTGAGACAAGATCTTGATGTGTAGCCTGAGCTGACTTAGAACTCGTGATTGTAGTCCAGGCTGGTGTCAAGTCCACGGTACTCTTGCCCCAGACTCCCTGGTATGTGCTGTTCCCACACTTGGCTTCTGAAAGCCTTTGGTGGGAGATGGCTTTTTGAGGCAGGGTTTCATATAGCCCACACTTACCTTGAACTCCTGATTGTCCTGTCTCTACCTTCCCAGTGTTGGTTACAGACTTATGGGCATATACCACCATTGTCAGTTTGTAAAAGCTCTTGAGTAGAGAGTATGTGAGCTAAAATACCACCGGGTGCTGTTTTCCTATGTAAATACATTTTTAAAAGTCCTGTAGATGCTGACTAGGTAAGCAGCTTCTGCTTGTCACCATTAGGTAGATGTTGAGTATTTACAAGAAGACACTTTTGCTTTCTTTCTTGGTAAGGTAATGTTATCAGTTCAGGACTTTGACTCAAGTTCAGTGTCAGTGACTATATCACTATGTCACTTTATACTGGCAGTTTTTCTAACCCACTCCTAACCATAACCTGGTCTCACTGGGCCTAGACAGTGTATTCTTGAAAGTGAGGCTTGGAGAAAGGTGAGGCTTGTTTACATAGCCGTGTGGATCTCTTGATCACAGGCCGTGGGTGGGTGGAAGATACTTCATAAATCTAAAGAGGAATTATTGTTGCAACCTGCCCAAATTGAGGCAGGCAAGTGTTTAGAGAGTCCTCAGTATTCGTGGTGAATCACAGGAGCACCCACAGCTAGAATTATAATCTGCAATTTAAAGTTACAGGGGTTTTCCATTGTGTCTGAATTGAGGGCATGTTAACAGATGAAAAAACAGAATTCTCTTTGATGTTGGTTTCTTTGGATATGTAAGTTCTCTTGAGGCCTGTGAGTCAGGCCCTAGGGATTTTCTTTCGGCTCCGCCTTTGTCTTTCAGGGAGGAACTAGTCAGATGGTGCTGACTGAGCTCTGGTCTGCTTCCTTAGAAGGTTAGTTTCATTAATTTTATACTGAAAGTGCATTGGAAAAGAATTGGAGATATAGCTCAGTTGTTAGAGTACTTGCCTAGCATGCAGGAAGCCCTGGGTTCAATTCCCAGCACCATATAAACCAGGCATATGCCAGTAATTGCAGCACACAAGAGGTAGAGGCAGATGATCAGGAGCTCAAGGCCATTGTCAGCTATGAGGTGAGCCTAGGATGCATGTGACCCTGTCTCACACACCCAAAAGGTGTAGTGGAGAAAACACCCTGAGAAGTGCCTCTGTTTTTCTCAGCAACGGCTTCTGAATTTGGTGAAGGATGCCCAGATTATTTTTTGGTAGGATGTTTTTTTTTTTTTTTTTTTGAAAACTGACTTTGTACTACCTCATCCCAAGTCATTTGTTGTAGGATATTCCAGAATGGAATCTTTAATTTGCTTAGAGCCAGGTACAAAATGGCTCATACTTGTAATCCCAGCACTGGAGAGGTAGATGCAGAAGAATCAGAAGTTCCAGGCAGCCTTGGCTACATCATGAGTTCAAAGCTACCCGGAATACATGAGATCTCAAACAATGAAAATTAAATAAATAAAATGGCTATTACATTGCTTTCTTTCTAAGAATTGTCATAGTTTTTCTATGGTAGCATTTGAAAGTACATTACTGAGGGTAAAATTTGCTTTAATCTGGGTGGGAGATTGTTTTCTTGCTCTAAATCTTGCCTCCTCCCCAACCCACCCCACTCCCATTAATTCTAAAACAAGGTCTTTTTGCTTTCACATAGCTTAGGTTGAAGTCGCTTCAAGCACATCGATAAATATTTTGATCTGTTTTTTCCACCATTATCCAAAAGCAGACAAGCCAATAATTAAAATGAACCACCTTTGCTAATAAGCCTGTTTGAACCGCTGTCTTCTCAAAGTTGTCTACGTCTCTTCTTATGTGTTGTTTCAGGTATGCTGAAACCTGCAGTCATGTAGAATACCCCTGCCGATTCCAGAATGCTTCTGCTGCCACCCAGGAGATCATTCCTCATCGAGTGTTTGCCCCACTGTGCCTTGAGGGTGCCTGCCAAGAGGCCCTGCTGTGGCTGATCCCTCCTTGCCTCTCAGCTGCGCACTCTGTCCTGGGAACACACCCTTTCTCCCGGCTGGACATACTCATTGTCCCTGCCAACTTTCCAAGTCTGGGAATGGCCAGGTATGCTTCTCAGCATGGCATGTGGAACACATGCTTCAAAAGTCTGGGGGCCACTAGGGGGTGTTTTTCTTAAACTCTATCAGCAGTGTCATTTGCTTAGGATGGAAGGAAAGGGTTCCTTGTTCACTCCTGGGTCTCTTACTGCTACCTTCAGGGGATGGTTTTCAAGTAGGCCCCCTCCCTATTACCTATTAACCTATTACCATGAACCTATAAGTAACGTGGCTGGGACTGGGAATACACTGCATCCGAGAGTGATATATGTGGGGTCATGGTTACTCAGTGGCTGTTAGCTTGGGTGATGAGAGCTTGCTGCTAATGAGTCCAAGGTCATGGCATCAGGCTCTGCACACAGTAACAAAACCTGGTCCCAGGGCTACAGCTGCTTGCCTAATCCTGACCAGCTGCCTCATCCATTCTCACCATTGGTCACAAGGCAACAACTTTAGAGCCCTGTGTCAGAGAGAGCATAAATCCATCCTCACTGCTGGAAAAACAGCTAAAAGCAGATGGCTTACCATGGGGGAGGAGTATAGCAACTTGTTCCTATTTTTAATACAGTAAGTAAAGTAGTCTTACCATGCATCCATTTGATTCTGACAGAAAATGGAGACTTACAAGCTGACCCTTTACCCTGTGTTAATTAAGCCACACCCATCAGTCCCACTGTCCATCAACACAGTGATGGGAGACTGGCTCTATCTCACAGAGGAAAGATGGCAGGGAGAGGAGGGTTACCTTGCTTATGCTTCTGTTTGCAAATCCTCATCACTAACAGGGACTGTGTTTGACTAGGGATGGGAAAACGATCTCATCAAACATGTGGCTTTGAGTTTTTCCCTATTAGTCAAGGAAATTCCTTCTGCCAATTAATTTCCATGCATTTGAACAACTGTCATTTGTGGTGTTTTCCCAAAAAAAAAAAAAACAAAAAAAACTGCACACACATTCTTGGTAAAACCCTTGAGTAGAAAAGAACTGACCAGAACATTTGCTTTTGATCTCTACTACACACACATGCACACACACACACACACACACACATACACACACACACACACACACACACATACCACTTTTTAAGGGATGGCCGGCTCGATGTAATCCTTGAAGAGTTCTCAGAAAATCATTTAGACTGATTTTTATCCTGTATTTATGAAGATAATGGGAATGTAGAAACTAGAATAATTATATATGCTTGGTTGCATGCATCATATAATTGTCTTGATGTCTATATATAGGGTTTTTCTTAACAAGGGGGCTTCTTTAGTCCCTTTGAAGAGTTTCCTGTACTTAATTTAAGCAGTTATTGGTGAAGAAAGGGTTGTTCATTAAATGCCTCTCATTTGTATATGGTTTAGAGGGGTCATATTAATTGGAGAGGTTTTAGCACTTTATGAGCGTTGTTTGTCGGGGCATATTTGCTAACAGTTCCATGTTCTAGCCTAGGGGAACCAAAGGCTGAGTGTTTTTCATGCACAGAACCTCTGGATAGCTCCTTCCTGACACACAGTCTGCCAAAACTAGCGTGTGCTAACCTTCAGGCCATTCTATAAGCTTCACTTTCCAAGTCTGCATGCCCAAGCAGGCCAGCAGTAAGATTTCTGCTTTTTCAGATATTTAAGGTGATTTAAACATGCTTAATGTTGTATTTTTAAAATAAGCTTAAGTGCCTGAAGGCCAAATGGTGCTGGGCACAAATGTCAAAACTGGAGTGGTGGAATCAACTTAGTATCAACAAGACAGCTGTCAAACTTCAGGACAGAACTGTGCACAGTTCTCAGATAGCACCCCACTACCGCCACTACCACACACACACACACACACACACACACACACACACACACACACACACACACCTTTCCTTATTAGACAGGAAATAGCCTATCCTGGTTAGGCTGTTTCCTCTACTTAACTACTTTTCTTTGCATTTGAACTGTGGAAGGGTGATCATGGCATTGTCTACTCTCAGTTGTGGTGCAGAATTGGGGGGCGATGGGGGAGGGTTTCTGTTTTTTGAAACTCTGACTTAAATATATTCCACTTGCTGAGCTTGTCTGTACAGATCCTTATACTTTGAGCCACATGCAGCGTCTGGGGACCTCCTCCTTATCTATGCTCAAGGCTCTACTGCAACAAAAATGGCAGGTGTGGAGGTCAACTCTGTGCCCCATACAGGGATAGGGGAACTCTCAAAACCATGAGGTACCGTTACGAGAGACCTGTGCACCAAAACTCACCCTGTCCTGATCATTATAGTGTGCTGGAGAATCAAAGTACTTCTTGGTAAATTAACTGACTCTTTCCTGAGTCCCTGTTTATAAACATGTAGCAGGATCATAAATTCCATAGCTCTGGGCTTCTTTAGCAATTAGGTTTTAATTATAATGAATACCATTTTAGTATTCCTCTTTGGCAAACAACATTCAGCATTCCCACATGAACAAAAACAGGCAAATCATTAACTGTATTAAAGGATTTTTTAAAATGTTTGGATGATACACAGTGTTTAGACATTATTCATCATAGTTTGTATGAATATGCTCTTGAGCCAAATAGGTGACTTCAGTGAAGTGAGGAAAACACATTTTTACAACTTGAAAGCTTGATAATCAATTCACAAGAAGGTAAATAGTACACTAACAGTGGTCTAGAATTGCACCCATTTTTAGCAGAGTGCTTCTTGGTATTCTTTTGTGTTGTTTCTGTCACCTTTCCTACAGAAGCCCCAGCTGACCAGCTAGCTCTCCCTCTGTCCCAGCACTTCTCTTACTCACTGTTCAAAGGGAGAGATGCTTTCACTCTAGTCCAGTAGTTCTCAACCTTCCTAATGCTCTGACCCTTTAATACAATTCTTCATGTACTGGTGACCCCCAGCCATAAAATTGTTTTTGTTGCTACTTCATAACTAATTTTGCTACTGTTTTTGAATCGTAATATAAATATCTGATACAGAGATGGTCTTCGGAGACCCCTATGAAAGGGTTGTTTGGCACTAAAGGGGTCATGACCCACAGGGTGAGAACCACCGCTCTAGTCCAACTGAGGAAACCTACCAGTTTGCATTTGGTCCTCCATGACCCACTCCATCCCATCTTTTGTTCATTTGGGATCTGTGAGCTTTCTGGCTTTGTTTCATTTAATCACTGCCTTCTCTGAACATGGGGTCTGCATGTCTTAAAGTGAGTACTGTGATGCCCCCATGAAGAGATGAATACATTTTGAATGAGTCTCCTTTGTCTACAAAGCTCTCCTGCTCTTGAAATTAATATTCTGCTATTTTTGTTATGTATTCTTATGTTTCAAGGTGAGATGAGATGGAACAGCTAGTCTAACTTCTTCTCATTGAGAAATAAATGCAAAGGGTACCCTTCATCACACTTGCACTCTTTGCTATAACAGCAATAATGTCAGTGGAATAATAGCTCGGAATGAGATTTATGAGCATTGCTTAAAATGAACACCCCAGTCCTACCTCTGTACGTGTTTATTTCACCAATTTTCTCTCAGCAGATCACAGTTAACATCCCAGTCTTACCTCTGTGTATGTTTGCTTCACCGTTTGTCTTTCAGAGGTTCAAAGTTGTATGTCACAAGGCATAATTAAGCTGGCAGAACTACCTTGTTAATGTCCAGGTACCCCCACCCCATATTTGAATTTCATGAATCCTGCAAATTATCTTAGTGCCAAGGTTTCATTTAGTGCCATCAAAAAGCCTGCTCTCCTTTTCAGCTCCACTGTTCACATCTTAGTCTTGCCCCTGTCCAACTGGGGTAATTGTAGAATGGGAGAAGTAAAGGGAGTATGGCTGGCTAAGATAGCTGGCAGATTCTACTCTGATCTCTTGTCTACTGGCTCCCCAGGTTGTGTGTAACTGTCTGTTTAGTCTTGGTGCATTTCTGTCAAGCACATTGTCTATGTGCAGTTACTTAAATTGCCAAGCCTACAAGGGCAAGTGAGGTTGATGAGATCTCCATTCTTCTGGGAACAGACATTCTAGTCTGGAAGGAAAATAGAATACATAGAAGTAGAGATGTGTGCTCTGAAGAAAATAAAACCAAGGACACTGAGAATGAGTAGGATGGGCAGCTTTGTTAGGGTGGACTCAGGTCAGCCACGTGAAGACAAGCAGAGACAGTGAGAGGTCATGGAGAGCCATAGCAATCAGCCTTGTCTTAGGGTCATGGGTGCTGTACTGTCTTATGACCTGCTAGTTAGAGCCCCAGGGCTTAGCAGCGACTGTCCTTAAACAGAATCTCCATTTTTGGAACTGGCACAGCACCTAGTACCCAGCCTAGAGACTACCCCTGTGCCAGGGGAGAAAGATGATCCCAATGGCCACATTTTCTTTACCTGGTGGCTCTTTTGTAATTTCTTGATCACAGGGAAGGGAGCTGGGTATATATGTTTGCTCATCTAAGTTTTTAAGGTTATTTTTTTTCCTTATTGAACAAAAGTAATATTGACAAAGAGTTTAGAGAAATAATTACTCAAATATTCTCAACGTTCTTCATGGTGGAGAAATACTGTAAAGCCCCTTATTACACACAACTTGTTCTTAAAAGATTGGTTGTGCAATAGAAAACCTTTTGCATGCTTATCCTAGCTCCTGACTCTGCATGCAGAGTTTTCTTAAGTAGCTCAACTGTAGATAGGCACCCTGCACATACATGCCCAGGAATGACGGTAGCCAGTTTGCCCCACCCCTCCCCTGGAGTTAGACAGGGTGTTGTCTTGTTTGTTCTTATCTCCCAGCCAATTCGTAATAGAATAAGCAAAGCACAACACACTGCTACAAAGGACCTGTTGTTTTCAACCTCCTGACTGTGCTCCTTTCTGCCAGGGAGGAAGCAGTCATACGGTTCTGTCATTATCTTAAGTAGTAAGGTTTCGCAGCTTTGAAAGTCTTTCTTCATTTGTTTTTTTGCTAGCTTACACTTGAATTTTTAATCCCCTAAACCCAAACCACCACACTCTTAAATAGTCCTCTGTGCCAAGG